ATTTTCTTAGGTCTGTCCAGGTATAAATAAATGTATATAAGCGAAGAGGTGACGTTTGAACGCTTTAGTGTCTAAACTTTAAAAGCCAATGGTATATATTTTACGCAATTTATAATTTTTGGATTTATCAGCCATGGAGGACTTCACTTGTGTCATAATAATAAATTATTTCACTATTTTTATATTGTAGATATAGTATTTTAAGTTGGATTGATTGTAGCCTATAGATGATAAATGCAAAATTTATAATATTTGGAAATAATGATGCAAACTTTATACTTGTATTTTACATTTCATGTGAACCCCATTTTTATTTCCTGCGCCACAAGTTTTGGATATTCGATGTCCGCCATATTTATTTTATGTTGGCGTCATTTAGTCTACGTTACGCAATTATGATAAATCGATTGAGATTTGAGATATAGTTGCCGACACGAGTGGTGAGCACAGATAAACTGTGGTGGGAGGTAGGTACACTGTCGGGCAAAATTATTGGGTACCTTTATTATTTCAATCCGTAATTGAATATTTTCGGCGACTTTTATGAAAATGTTTACTCGAACACATCAACATTTACTTTGATACAGTAATGTTGCATATATTCATGTTCTTTATTTTATTATGTACTATAAAGTATTTAATGTATACCTGGTGGTTAGAATTGATTATTTTATTAAGAAGAAGGAAGAGGTGATATGCCTTCCATAAAATCTGGTGTTGCGGTGCGCCGTACAGTAGCTACTGATAGGGTAGGGCGGGGCTAGTTGAGCATAGGGGCAAGTTGGGCAACCGAAATATCTCGCAAACTATTCACCGTACGCATAGGCATCGTATGGCGGAAAGAAGGAGTCGCGGGAGGGGTAATCACCATGCAATCGCTAGTGGCGGCTGGACGAACGAGTGAAGCGCCCGTGCGTTTTGTTTATTTTGTGATCAAAAAGTAAAAACGTCGTTTATCGCAAGTTTTCGTCTGCATTAGTCAATTGTTATCTGTTTTCAATCAGGTAAGTGTTAATCTTCCAGAGAATTATTGTACTTTTGATATGTAGAGAGGTTATGGGTATAATTCTTACGATTTTTTTATAACCTCGCTTTTGTTTTAAAATTCCGGGTTGAGGTTAGTTGAGCTATAGTTGCTCAATTTACCCCACGACTCAAACAACTAAAGTAATTAATGTTTTATTTTTTGTTAGGATGCGGACTTACAAGAGGAAGACTACAAGATGTTCTTACACTACTGAAGATTTAAAAAATGCTGCAAAGGCCGTCAACGATGAAGGAAAAAGTGTTAATGCCGCCGCTAAAGAATTTGGTATCAAACGGATGACTTTGACAAGATTTTTGAAGAAATTAAATGAAGGTGGTGATTCATCCATGGGCTATGCAACACCGAGGCAAGTATTTTCTCCTACACAGGAAGACTCTCTGAAAAAATACTTGCTACAAATGGCATCAATCTTCTATGGATATTCTCCAAAAGACGTCCGTCGCCTTGCTTACGAATGTGCTGTTAAATTTGGCATTAAAATTCCACCCAGCTGGACTGCAAATACGATGGCCGGAAAAGAATGGCTTACGATGTTTTTAAAACGAAATTCGGAGCTATCCATACGAAACCCAGAACCCACCAGCCTTGGTAGGGTAACATCATTTAATGAGCAGAATGTAAAAATTTTTTTGAGAAATTAGCGAAAGTAATGGATAGATATGGATTTACTGCGGCAGAAATTTGGAATATAGATGAGACAGGAGTATCCACTGTGCTGAAGCCAAATAAAATTGTAGCTGCCAAAGGTAAGCGCAATGTCGGCGCAATGACTTCTGGGGAACGAGGCACTAACGTTACAGTAGTAACTGCTGTATCCGCTCTTGGAAATGCTGTACCTCCTATGTTTGTATTTCCGAGAAAACAGTTTAAGACACACTTTATTAACGGTGGTCCACCTGAATGTATAGGAGCAGGCAATGCCAGTAGAAGGGTTACAGACGACGAATTCCATCAGTTTATGCAACATTTTATTAAAAATGTGAAACCGTCCATGGAGCGCCCTGTTTTGTTAGTGTTGGATAATCACTCCTCTCACTTGAACGTGAAGACACTAACTTTGGCCAAAGAAAACGGAGTTGTAATGCTGTCCTTTCCACCGCATTGTAGCCATAAATTACAACCGTTGGATGTGTCAGTCTTTGGACCGTTCAAAAAGTATTGCGCTGCTGCTCAAGATGCATGGCTACGAAACAATCCGGGGAAAACCCTTACTATTTATGATATACCAAAAATAGTCGCTGATTCGTTGCCGTTTGCTCAGACAAGTATAAATATTGTTAACAGTTTCCGAAAAACAGGCATCTTCCCGTATAATGCAAACATTTTTGGTGAGGATGAGTTTTCACCATCATTTGTAACCGATCGTCCTGAACCAGAAACTATCGAGCCGGAAAAAGATCATCCAGAGCAAGCTGTGATGTCCAGAACTGAACCTAATCCCAATCATTCTGCCTCCACCAGCCAAGCTGAACCCGAACCTGGTCCAAGCAACAAAAAAAACGAGACGATCGACCTAATACAAGTATTTTCCCCGGAAATTGTACGACCATACCCAAAGGCTGGCCCTAGAAAAGCAGCTAAAACTAACAGAAGAAAGAGGAAAGCTGCAATACTAACAGACACTCCCGAAAAGAACGCTTTAGAAGAACAGCAAAATAAAACCACAAAAAAAGTTAAGAAGCCACAAGAAAAGGAAGAAGGGTATTTATAAAAAAATACTCCAGTCAAGTGATGATGATAATTATTCCTGTCTGATTTGTTGCGAAGGCTATGCTGAAAGTTTACCAGGAGATAAGTGGATCCAGTGTCAAGCTTGCAGGGAATGGGCACATACAAAATGTGTTCCAGGTGCTGGTCTTACTTTCGTTTGTGTCAATTGCAACAGTGACAACGACGATTAAGTTGCTAAGATCTTAATAATATATTTTTTTGAGATATTTAAGTCTGACTTTAAACAGAAAGACTGAATCTAATCCTAAAGTTAGTCTTGAGATACGTTGATGTTTTGTTTATTCTATTTTCAGTTAATTATCCAAAGAAAATTACTTCAAGTTTTGTTGTTCTGTCACTAAGACTATATAAACTTACTTTCATTTTTGTCCATTGCAACAGTGACAATGACCATTAAGTTCCAAAGATCTAATTAATTTTTTAAAGATATAAGCTATATTTGTAATAATATAAACATTTAAGTCTTATTTTGAACAGAAAGACTGAATCTAATGCTGAAGTAAATATTAAGATACGCTAATGTTTTGTTGATTCTAGTTTTGGTTAATTATTCAAAGAAAATTGCTTTAAGTTTTGTTGTTCCGTCACTAAAAGACTATAAATAAAGAGCTGATTGTCAAACACATATTTTACTTCATCTCTAGTCAACATTGAACCCATGGTTTGGTTAGACATTCTTGTGCTCAACTTGCCCCATACCCTTGCTCAACTTACCTCACCTATGGGGTACATTGAGCGTACTTGATTTTCTGCATTTAAACAGCTGTAGCTCCTAAATTCGACTTGTTACTAATTTACGACTATGGACACTTTTGCTAAGGGATAAATTACTAATCCATCAAACCGCATAACAACTCATTGAGGCTTATTATTGAGGAGCTATATCCGCTCAAGTGAAAAGTTGCTCAACTAGCCCCGCCCTACCCTACATTAGTCGCCTCAGCAATCTGTTTATATACGTCTATGATGTTTTCGCAGTACCTAATTTTTTCATGTAACTAAACACTGAATAGAAAATTTGTCGGGATTGTCTATTTAACACCGAATTCTTCCTTCTCTGCATATTTAGACCAAAATCTGAACACTCAAATTATAACAACAAAAATAATTAAAAACAAGAAATAACAAACACAATTAATAACAAGGAATACACAAACAACAATTAACAACGAGCTGACAAAACAATTAACGAAAATAAACTTATTAAAAAGTTATCACTAAAATTATTGCTCTGAAGTGTACGGAAGCCGAATGAAACGTTCGAAACCAATAGACGACGAGAATCGACTGATGAACCAATCACTTTAAACGTCAGCGTGGTCAACGTCGTATCGACCAATAAAAAGTGTGCTCACGACTTATGTCGGCAGTTATACATGTTTTTATTTGTCAACCTCTGATGGAATGTGACAACAGATTTATTAACATCAGTCATACGTATTTTTACGTGCGGGGTGAGTAATAATGCCGATTAGTATGAAAAATGCATGTATTTTTCCATACACACAGCAAATATATAATTAAGTCGTCAAGTTGGGTAAGGTTCTTAATAATCGCAGATGTCGTAGGTTAATTGCTCGTACTCGCTTCTTAGAGTAGAGTTCACTTTTACCGAAATAATTAATTACCCTTATCGTCTGGAATATTCTTGAGTAATGTGATGCAATACGCAACTGGCTGTCGTAACAATATTTACGAGATAAATAGTGGGTTTTGTACTGGCCGTTATCAGTATTGGCAGAACTGCTATATAAAGCTTTCATATTTTCTGTAATGGCATCAGTTGTCTTTGAGTATTGGTGTGGAACGTGTGCGTGTGCTCTTGCTCAATATTTTAATTAGAATCAGTGGTTTTACATGGAAACAATTCCGTACATTTCTCTACATTAATCTAAAATCTCAAACGCAATAAATAGTTCTAAGGAATGAAGTGCTGTGAACATTTTTCTTTTATTAAACGTCCTTGTTTATATCCTGAAAAGTGTTGCACTCTAGCCGGTATAACACGTGTAAAGTACGTCACAGTCTCGTCTACTGTGATAAGAACGATCGGCTGGACGGGTGTGACTTGCCGTGCCTCCGCAGTACCGTTGGCTTCACGTAAGATAGAGCGCGTATATTAAGTGATTCGGAACGTTTTTATTTTTCTTTTGATATAAATAGTGCTTCTATTGTATTTTAAATTTGTTGCCAGTATTTATTACTCTATCTTTATTCCGTTATGGTAGTGCTGAACATGAATAATGGTAAGATATTTTTGTTATTTTTTATTTGATATTATTGTGAACAATCAACTTGTCAAAAATTCATTGCAATAATTATAAAAATTATTTTAATTATTAAAATGTGAAAAGTATTCTGCATATATAAGTTAATAGACATATTTCCCATTTACAGCAGTATATAAAATATCAATTTAGTTATGTACTTTAAACTGAAAACTTGTGAGACGTGGGAACTAAGGTGGGAATCCGCGAAATGAATTGCTAAAGATTTAGTAATTGGCCTAAAATAATTATAGAACGAATCCTGAAAGAGTTTGTAAAAGAATATATAAAAAGTTACAGCCCTTAAAGTATGGTCCCTCAGTTAACACAGTCTATCATCCAGATCTCAGAAAGAGACTTAAAAATAAACTTAATGTGATTACAGATATTTAGTGAAGAAATTGTAAAGCTTTTTTACTGAATAACAAAACTCATTGTTAAAGATAAATGAAATACATATCTTAACTATGGTCCCTCAGTCCAACAGTCTTATAGGAAGTCCGTACAAAGGTTCTACTTATTCCAGAATGTGCTAAAATATCTTCCATTAGACCCACTACTGAAAGAAATATCTTCCGGTAGTGGGTCTACTGGAAGATATTTTAATAAAGAATAAAGGAAAATATATTAAAAAGGCAAACTTAGTGCGTACATTACTACTACTAATGATGTACTAATGAGTAAATAATTTAAAAAATGCTACTTAAATTATAATAAATAATACTATAAATAAAAATGAATAAATACAATAAACAAAAATAATACATACAATAATTACATATAATATGAACTAATACTAATATATGATTAAAACTACTTTTACGGATTTTATCGCGTTTATTTTTACTTTTTATTTTTAATTCCCAACGTTTCGGGCGCTTTCCAGCACCCATGGTCACGGGGGACTGAGATGACTGACGTCCCGATGTCATTGTTAAACCCGGAGTACCTTCAGCTTTTTTAATTATTGTTTATGGTCCGATCTATGCAAAATGAACTGACTATGTCCTGAGGTCTTGCAGTGGTATGCTTGGGTTTAGTTTTAATTTTATTGATTATAGGATCCCAAGCAGGTGGTAGTACCCAGCCTCCTTCTCTATTGAAATTAGGATGTTTTTTAATTTCAATAGCCTCACGTATCATCCTTGGTAGGAATCGGTGTTCTTTCGCGAGGATTTGTGGTCTATCAAATCTGATGTAATGGTTGGGGCCGTCTAGGATATGATCACAAACTGCAGACTTCCCGGAACGTTGATGCTTCACATCAGCTATATGTTCTTTTACGCGGGTCCTAATTGATCTTTTAGTTTGTCCTATATAAGAGAGACCACATTCACAATCAAGCTTGTACACTCCTGCATCTTGTAGAGGAATATGACACTTGACGGATGGTAGGAACTGACTAATCTTCTTCGGCGGCTTGTAGAATGTTCTAATAGAAGCTCGCTTCAAGATATAGCCAATCTTGTCTGTGACACCTCTGACATATGGTAGTACAGCAGGCACACGCTCGACTGTGGCCGGCTTCACTCGGTCACTGTGACGTAGGCGCGGGACCCGAAGCTTGTTGTCGTGCAGAACTTGCTTGACGTGCTGAAGCTCGGCGGCCAGGTGTTTGCTGTCACAGATCCCTCGTGCTCTCTGTAACAAAGATTTGCCCACGGTAGCTGACACAGTGACACAGGCCGTAGAGTTTTAATCATGTGCAATGTTCGCGTAAATATAAGAAATCATTATAATACTAATATAATAAAGTATTTGGAAAATCCAAAATGTTTTTTAATTTTTTATACATTAGTGAAAATTTCTTAATTGAATTATTCGTCTAGAAGGTTTTAGAAGTCGAATGGGTTTTGTAAAAAAAAGGAATAGGGTTAAATATTAGCGCAGTTTTAAGATAACTACATACTGCTAAAACTGGCCTTTCTACACGTCTCCAGACATATCGTGTGCTAACTGTGTGACGAAAAGAATATAAGATGTAAGTGTTCTTTGCCTTTTAGAAAAAGTTTTCTACTAAATAATAGAATAATATAAAATATTCTATGGAATAATAATAGAAAATATTCTATGGAAATACACTGGTTAGTGTGACTAACCAGTGTATTTCCATAGAATTTTTCTTCACAGAATTTTTATTTTTCTCGAACAGCTTTATTATTTTTTACTTAGTTGGGAACTGAAATAAAAATTTATATTTGATTCAGAGAATTACTAGCGTGGTCCATCATTGCTCAAAGCACGTACCTATATAAACATATGGCAAACTTCGTCCTACCAATGATACAAAATCAAAAGAGACATTGCATTTTTGAGTTTGAACATAGATTTAATTTTAGATTTTATAAATGTTTGATATTTCAGGAAGAGGCAATTAATATTGATGAAGGAAACAGATAGGGTCGATGCGCCGGTAAGCCGGCCGGGTCTAGATTTCGGCCTTTGGCACGAGCTGATGCAGTAAATTTGATTTAATAACAATTTTAATAAATATTATCGTAAGAAATACAGTTTAATGCATTTGTAAATAGTTTCACTATATCTGGTAGCATTAATTAATCAGGTAAACACAACACGCGATTTATAATAAATAGTTTAGTTTGACGCCGACACTGAAGCTATCAAAACGGGTAAGATCGAGCATAAAAAATAGTGGCGAGCGTTCCATTCAAAAGTAAGTTTCGTGCTGTATTTAATTACTTAATATTGTGCTTATATTTCACTATATAAATAACATAATATAGTTATTTGACACTGATTATTATAATAACTTATTGATAAAGTTAATAAATTAAGTGGCCGAAAAGTGACACATAAAATTGTCCCATTATTTGGTTGTCGGCCATGCGGTCGAAAAGTAGCCTGAGTTTGGCCTAAATACTTTGTCTCTTTCGTTTATTTGGTTACGTACTATAACTCATCTTTCTTACTTATATTGAATCGTAGTGTGCGTAGACACTAACTTTCAGTTTTCGGCCACCAAGTACTGCAATTTGAACAGTTAGTGATGAAACAAAATACCCGTTTCAGTCGTGGCCGAAAACTGGATTGACTTTAAAATGTATACAATTTAGTTTTCGGCCAACTTAAAATTGTATGAAAGAATACGGCGGCGGAAAATGGAATACTGTTTAGTTTACGTTTACGGCCATTTCATCTTATCATATCAAATATTTTATTCACGTTGTGTTTTAGGAAGAAGATTCAAAAAAGAAATTTTTTTTCTTCAGATGGCTCCTCTTGGTTAGAGATGAGAATGGTTAGATATGGTAACAGATTTTGTTAAACTAAAATACTTATGAGGAAGTACAAAATACTCGTAAATGAGAATATTTGATTGCTATATTTAAAAGATTTTATTATTAGATTATGATTCAAAGAGAAATAATTAATCATGGTTATTATTTTATATCAAAAACACACCCAAAAAAGAAAAAAATAACGTCACGGTTAAAAAAATCGCAATCACCGATTGAGAAAACTAAATACACCGATTTCCCAAACCGTTTTGCCATTTTCTGATTTTACAAAAACACTTTTAAGTTTATAGTACCTCTTCTAATACAGTGGCCGAAAACTAAAATTCTTGTAGGCCGAAATCTAAAATTTGGGGCCGAAAACTAGCGTTTTGCATATTTTTCACATCAAAATTTATTTTAAAAAATAGATTTCTTTTGTAGCATTATTGAGTTATCAAAATGAAAACTACATTATATAAGCTATAAATTAACATTAACAACACTAGGTCAACATAATCGCTATTATTTTTTATAGTACCTTAAAGTTGACAACTCCACTAAAAGGCCGAAAACCAGCGCAACGACCCTACTGTGTTACTTGTAGTGACCAACTTTGTTATAAGTACGAGTTGTCAAAAATAGTTATACGGCAAAAATTCTTTTGCTAATATATCCCTCTTACAATTTCAGAAAAAACAAAATCTATAAATTCATAGACGCGATTGAGATCATTCCGGCGTTAATTCCTGATAGTCTTAGGTATTACCGCTGTCGTTGTAGTGATATATAAATATTCTTAAAGCAGTTACTTGTTATGAATTGGTATCCTATAACACGCAAAGCAATCACACACTCATGTGATGCATGTCAGAAGCGCATTCACAAACTTATTTTATACTTTGAGTAGACATATAGAGTTACGTACAGTTTCGTGGTCACTTGGAAGAGAAGGCCAAATTGGTCTCTAAGAAGCTTGGCGTGCTCAGCAGAGCGGGACAGTATTTCATGGCGGCACACCGATTGCAACTTTACAAGGCGCAGGTTCGGCCGCACATGGAATACTGTTCCCATCTCTGGGCTTGGGCTGCTCAGTGCCGGCTCCTACCATTTGATCGCATCCATGGCAAAGCTGTTCGAATCGCCGGCGACTGAGCTCTTTCCGATCGGCTTGGCTCACTGGCACTGCATCAAACTGCACTGCTGACAAAAATAATAATTTCGCCAAATGTAAAACCTGTGGGAGCTATAGATTAAATGGTTAATTTTTTTTTACATGCCAAAAAGAATATTCTGGCCAAGTTTTGTACCTATAACAGCTATAGTGTGGAAATGTGTTTTTTTTAACTAACGCCCCCGCAACCCCCCTTGCGGGTGGAATTTCGTAAAATTCGTTCTGAACTGACCTCTTCTCTGCGAAAGGAATTTTCCTACCAATTAGTTCCAGAGATATCGTGATGAGTCAGTACATAAGTGTAAAATCTCGCTATATATATATATATCAATGAGCAGCGTAATTGCATTCATAACCACGGAATATAAAAAAAATTATATTCCGTGTAACCCTCTCATAGATGTATATGGCAAAGTGGCAAAGTTTTAGAACACAGCGCCTATTTGCCTTAATCGTATCTTTCATACATTGCTTTTTATTGCGTTTTATTTATTATTCAAGTCCATCATATCTCAAACAACTTTTTCAACACTTCAGCTCTTTTTATAAACTTTTTCTTCAATTCAGAG